GAAGAGTTAAATATTACATTCACTACATCCACAGTAATAAAATGCCAGCAGATCATTACCAGTACCATCAACAGTGCATTGATAACAATGTTACAAGGCCTCAGCAGAAAAGCAAAAATGCAGAAGATTCTGCAGGGAACCAGCGGAAAATTTTTTCCCATGCTTTTTAAGCCAAGTATATAAAAATCTTTCATAAAAATAATGTTATTTTGAGTGGGAAGGACTGGAAAAAACAGCATTTGACAATAGTTTCAAATTAAGTGAGTTGCAACTCAGCAAAAAACAGTCCAGCTCTCCCCCCTAGGCAACTTTCAGCTTTTCATTTCTTTCCCACTACAGAGTAGCACCACGGGTGAGCTGAGGAGAGAAAAGGCTCTGTTACCATCTGCTTTAGCCTCCTGCTCTCACTCATTATCCCTGTAAGCCTGCAGAGAGGTTTAGGAAAGGGATCTTCAGGCAGCCTGGGCACAATGAGTGGGGCTGAGCTCAGCCTTCAGCCTAAGCTCGTCCCATGGAGCCCCAGGGGGCTCGGTGTGAGAAGAACACACACCAAGCCTTCTCTCCATGGTCATTTTCCCTTTTCCTCCCATTCTACTGAACTCTTCTTAACACTGATTTTGCTACTGCTGGTGGAAGCTTTTCTGGGATCATAAAACAGAGAAAGCCCAGGTCTTTCTCTACTTTCTAGGTGGCTGATTGCAGGGATTTATTACTGTGCAAGGCCTTCCCTCAGGGCACACAGGAAGGGAGGAGAAGTTCCTTGCATCTGTGCTCACTCATGCATAGATCAGCTTTAATCTGACACATGCTACATCAGAAAAGTTTAGAAAAGCCTTTAGTTCATCAAAGCACAAGAATTCTCTGGGGATGGCGAGAGCACGCTGGTCCTAATGCAGATAAGCATGTAGTCATGTAAAAACACATGTCAAAATCTCACAAAAATCAAAATATGATTGAAAAATTAATGATATCCTTGAATGATAATTTCTGAATAGAGAAAGAATGAGAGATACTCAACAGGGATACGCCTTCCAGATGCCTGTGCCTTGGAAAAGCATCCATCTGGTTATATCTCCAGGATCAGCATATTTGAATAGAATGCAAATCGCTCTTGCAACTGCTGTTATCTTTCTGCACTGTAGTCATAACTGAGTGAGTCATGTTAAAGGGTCAAAACCTTCTGTTCTACTTTTTGTGATAAGCATCTTTTCAACATGCAGTGTTAGAGATCCTGTGTGCCAACAGATCGAGGTAGGAGCTGGTTTGGGGTGATCTACAGCCATGATCTGTAGTAAGAGACTTCTGAGCATCCTGAGGAGAAAACTTACCTTTGTAGCTTCAGAAGAGCCTCGGTTTAGAAGAGCAAAGGACCATTTTTCAGAAATGCAGGCAGGTATCAACAACCCCTTATGGCTGCTGATCTCAAATACGTGTGTGTGTGTGTGTGTGTGTATAAAAATGAATATAGGTAGAATCCTATTATTTCACTTATCACATTAAAAAAATCCTTTCACATCTCCAAACAGATTATATTTGTGCAAAATTCAGAAACTACACAATATGTTTGTAAACACTAGCTACACCACCTCTAAATCACTAACATTTGACTGAATATCTGAACTTAGACACTCTATGAGATGATTTAAAAATAAACACAAGATTTGAACTCTACAGAGAAAAAAACAACAAAAAACAACCAACTTTCTTTCCATGGAAAATTTAACATGCTCCTCATTTAACAGGAGACAATGTCTAGAATAAAGAACACAGAAATGTGAATTTACAAGTGCTTATTTGGCCTGATCTCCGATTAAAAATATCTTGCTTAACTTCAGCTGAGCATCAGCTGAGGACTTGTGTGTGCTTGTAATGATCATAAAAATGTCACACGCACAAAAATTGTTTCCTCTTTCCTTATTAGACTGGACTAGTAGTTTTCAAATACCACCTCTCTTTCAAAAAAATGCTTTTTAAATTTCCTTTATTATTAAGAAAGTCCTTTTATCCTGGAGCTAAGCTACAGAATATGTTGCAGGAGAGAAGACAAAGGCTGGAACACTGAATGCTCTGCCAGGTAATTTAAACCCAACTGTGTTCTCTCCAGAACCTTTCTGTCTCACATGGGGAATTATTTAACCCCATTTTTGCAAAGGATAACTGCCCTGCTGAGCCTCAAAGGCAGCAATACAGAGCTTACCTTTAATCCTGTGCAGAATAATGAGTGATACACTGCTGAGATTAGTGAAGCAGTGTCAAATGGAGGTTCCTTCCTCTTTGTACTCTGACTCCACCTGGCTAAAAGCACACTGTTAAGACCCCTTAAGCATACAAAATCTCTAATCAAGTTTTCAACAGCCTGGGCCTTTTAGCTAATTTAAAATTTAAAAGAAAAAAAAGTCACCTTTGATGACACTCACTTCTTCACAAGGACAGATTTTGTTATGGCTGCTGCTGGAAGGGGGAAAAAAAAATTTAAACAAAAAAAGTTGTTCTGAGAAAAAAGTGAAACACAAATTCTGAAATATGTCCCTTCCAGCCAGCAGGACTCTCTCCTCTTGTAGCACCTGCACAGACTGAGCCCTTTTCACACTCACACCATGTGTTAATAACCTGGCTATGTGTTAATGATGGCTCCACCTGAGATCATCAATTCTAACAGCTTTTGGTTGTCTTAGGCAAATTTTAAATTCTTTGCCTTCTGGTTTCTAAACTTTTGAGACGCCCTTTCTTTCTAAGTTTTTTCCGCATCCAGGGGGTTTATAATTTACTTTTTTTTACAAACACTAAGAGTCTCAGGAACTCTGCTCATTGGACTTCTAGGAAAACATCAGATATCTTTAATCCTTAGGAATAAAAAAAATCAAAACCTGAGAACTAAAAAAAAATCACATCTGTTTTGTGACATGCATTTATAATTTCTATGCAAACATTCAGCTTGTGTTCTGTCAGGAGAAAATGGTTTAAGCATGGAACCTAGAATTTAAAAGTTAGACCAGAAAAGAACACCTGGTTTGTTACCCTGGAGGGAAATAGATTAGAGAATATTCATTTTGTTAACAACTGATACTTGGCACTCACTTTATTTTTTTATTTTAAAAATAGTGAATACATTGAAGCTGAATTACACCAGTTTTCAATTGAATTATATGCAAATAATAATCAGAATTTATAATTAGATCTGTGGATAAATCTATTTAGAAATAAATATTATTTTAACAGATTGAAATGCAATACAAATGTATCAAAACAGAGCTTGAATATGGCAAAACAGAGTTTGAATATGGCAAAACAGAGTTCATTTTTTGAGATATTTTATGAAAACAACACGAAATGTGACACTGATGAAAAAGAAAACACAGAAAACTAAAAATTAAAAGCCACGCAGAAGTACAGCTGGAGAAGAGGCTCCATATAGGACCTGTAGGGAAAAGTAAGAAAATCCTGCTCCCAGTAAGTGCCAGTCAGCAGCTTTCCCCTGGTCTGGCAGCACAGATGGAGGGAACACACCGAGCTGCTGACGTGATGACAGACATCTTCAGCGGGCTGAGAAGACCTTGGCCACTGCTGTGGCAGGAAATCCTCAGTTACACAGCAAAGACAAGAGCTGAAGTTGTTTCTTGATGATTTTTGTAGCATGACAACAGCCAGGCTTTAGCACCGGGCAGTGCAATAGCAACAGCACTGCGGCAAGGAGGGGTTTTGATAAGAAAATTGCCAGACAAAAAAGGCAGCAAAAGAACATCCTTGATACTACAGAAAGAATATAACAAAGTGTTTCCAGCCTCTGACTACCAGTGGACACCAGTGAGGTGCTTTGATGTCAGGGAGGAGATCAGTCAGCACGATCAGAAAGGACGGGGCTGGAGAAGGTGATGTCTCCAGCCCCGTGTCCGCCTCTGCCCTGCTCTGCTTTTAGCTCCCTTCTTGTGAAGAGCAGCTTGCTACCCCCAAAAGATGAGAGATAAGGTCAATGGAAATGCAAGGTATTGCCAGACTGTGGCTATTTCTTTTTCTTTATTTTTTTCAAAGAGAGGAAATAATGTGTGCAGAGCAGCAGTGGTTCATATTGGGTCAGTCAGGAAGTGTGGGGCTGAGAATTTAAAAGACAGGCATTTTTCTTTTGTGGTTCTCTCAGAGAGAAAAAGCGTACAAGAAAACTGTTTTTTTTGCTAAAAAATGCAAACTTCGAGCTCACCTAGAGCTAGCTGAGGTACTGAGGTGTCAACATCATGTTTCACTCTGAAGAATGTCACTTTAAGCAGAATACTTTGCATCTGTGGCTGCAGTTATTACAGAAATGCTAAATAGCTAAAATCAGTGCTCCTTTGGATTGCAGCACAGGTAATAGAAGAAGGAGCACAGGAAGACAATGAGAGATTATTAACTCTATTCCCACAGGTGAAGAGCTGAGGCATAATTGGTTTCAAGCTGAAGTTTCACACACATCTTCATCCAGCACTTACTGTGGAAAAAGACCTCGTCTGCCTCTTGCTATCTCTGCTTCAGCTCGGCCCACATAGATAAGAAAGAAATCTGAAAACGCAAATCCAAAACTAGCACCATGAATATTGCAGGTAATGGAAAAAAGAAGATCAGCTGGAGATATATCTCTTTAAGTTACAAAATTGATTTTAATTTGGCCTTTCATGGTTGTTACTTAGCAGTAAACAAGCTGATAACCTTTACTGCTGTGAATGGGTATGGAAAATTAATGCAACAGAACCACTCAGAAGCTCACAAGAGTAGTCCTTGAACAGCACAGTTGGCTGAAATACCTGGAATTCAATCTGCATGTTACACTGTTACATCTACCTCAGATGAGGAAGCTGAAAATAGAGACTCTGTAATTAAGCCAAGCACTGTGTGTTTTGAAATTCGTTAATGAAAATCCAACCAGCCAGCAAACAACTGATTCTTGTGTTGTCAAAGAGAAAAGGAAAAATCTGTTGTGCCAAGACACCTACGGACAACTTAAAATGCATTAAGATATATCTCAGTTGATGTGACAAAAAAAAAAAAAAAAAAAAAAATTGAGTAAGAAATTTGTCAATGATTCACTTAAAGAAAAAAAGGCATTTTGCAAAGAGGAAAAGAATCACCAAGCAGGAGCTTTTTGAAAACCTCCATGATGATTAAAATAAAATCCGCACTAATAATTTCTGTTGAAATATTCAAGCAGAAAAGTTGAGAGCAGAGCTGCCTTGGAAATGCTATTTCTTGCTGACATATGTTTAACAGATATTTTTTAGACCTTCAGACATCATGGTGTTATTTATGTGTGCGCTGAGAACAAATTTGCTGCCTTCTGAGGCTTGTTCAAAAATGTTTTTTAATCACTCTATCAAAAATCAGGCTCTGCAGAAAAATTTGGATCAGCTGAAGAGAAAAAAAGCTGCAGTTGCTCCTGTGTGTGGAGTCCCTGCACCATGCTGGTTTAACACTACCTTCTTTTCATTCTTACTGTTTAAAGGAAAGATGAATGTTTGAGGGATAGGCTGGTCCTACCAGCATAATAAAGATGTTTTTTAATTAGTCTTCCCTCTGACTGAAGGAAACCAGCAGTCCTTCTGGATATGTTTTAGCTGAGAAAAAACGAGGAAGAAATGGCCATAGGGTTCTTGTACCAAAGTGCTGGGTTACTGCAGAGGAGAAGAGAGGCCAGGGAGAGTGACAATCCCAGCTGATTTTACAGGAAATGCATTTTTAAAGAAATTACATACACATTTTTAGCAGCTGATTTGCAACGATTTGTTCAAAAAAATACCCTAAAATCCCAAACACAGAAAACAGATCCTCTTTACTTCTGTGGAGTTTGTTGCAGGTCCTTGAGAACAAAGAGCAGAATAATAAACTAAAGGACATCAGTGAGGCTGTGCTGTGGTTTTGTAGCACCAGGTCACATCTCAAACCCCAGCACCTGAGCTGCTGCTGCTGTGTCACCACGGCTGGGCCACTCACACGAGAGCAGTCATGGCTCCTTCGCTTCTTCACATCACTGAGGGTGGAAGCCAGAGTTGGGCTAAACAAAACTCTTGCAAAATATCCAGGAGAAACCCGTGAACTCAATGGAAAGCAGCTGGCTGTTTGTTTTCCTTCCTTATTTGCCCTCAGGTTGTTTGGACTGCAAATATGGTGGAGGCTGATGTCGCAAAGGGGACAGGGACAACTTTCTGCAGAAAGCACAGGCATCCCAAAAGCAGCAGCACTCCAAAAGACTGAGCCTTTTTCAAGGGATCAGAACACCTCATTGCAATGGGAGCTTCCCAATCCCTCACCAGAGTCCCTGCATGAGAGCAGCTGGTCTGCACGGCCCAGGATTTGCATGGCAGGACGTCCTTCCTGCTGGGGTGGCAGCTGCACTCTGATCTCCCCAACCCTGCAACTGCTCCTTGAGGACTTCAGGCAACTCACTCTGTGCCTCACCTTCCCCAGCTGCAAAATGGAGAAGAGGACATTCACTTTGCTGAGATTTTGGGTCAGGAATACAGGAGGCAGTGTTTGTGGTACACTATTTATCAACAAGGCTCCACCACCAATGCAGTGTTGTCATTACAACAAACATTGCTATTGTTTTACTCCAGATGGAATCTGTGCTATCAAAAGTTATCTTGCTGTACTAAAAAACTAAATCTGCATGAGTGTAGCACTGAAAAAAAAACTATTTGTAATTCTGAGGCCAATATGATAACCATATTTATTTTTACCTCTATGTTTTCAGCTACCATATGATACAATCATGATGGTAAAAAAGAAATATATTTTAAAGCAGCAGTTATTGATGGCAACTTTAACACCTTCCATACTCTTTTCCCAAAGGCAAAGGATTATGTAATAAAAAGAAAGCCTGTATTACAGCACTGAGGTTTGGAATTAGCATGATAAACTGAATTTTAAAACAATACTGGCCCTATCCTGTACTTACAGATAATAGAATTTATGACTTAGAGGTGCTGCCACTGAGAATATAACAAGGGAGGAAACTGCCAAAGAAATATTCCAATTTATATATGTCATATTACATTTCTATGTCCCTTCTACTACACTTCCTGAAGCTGGAAGGCTGTGGTGTGCGGACTCTGAGTCTCAGTCAGGAAACTTGCTGCAGTTCCAATTCCACTCCTCCTGCCTGAAGCCCTCAGCAAACCTCCCAGGAGCTCCTGGCTGTGGTTTCAACCTAGTGACCCAGGAACACCAACAAGCATCTTTGCATGTTTCAGATTCCTAAAATTCTCCTTTCCTGGGACATTAAAATACCATCCATGCTACTCTGGCACTTGCTTTTTTATTCATACCAGGATTTGTGCGCATTCTTCTAGGACCATTTTTGTCATCCTCCCTTTTAATGACAAACTAGTGATGGTTCAGTGAATCCAAACATACCAGGTTGTTTCTGTCACTAAGATCTGTTGCTTGTGCAGTACATTTCTACAAGCCATGCAGGAGGCACATCAGTCCACAGGGAGAGAGAAGAGATGCCTGCTTTCCTCATCCCTGGGAGCTGCAGGGCAGACATGAAGGAGCAGCATAAGGTTCACTGCTCAATGGTACTAATTTCCATAAGCTGCAGTGTAAAAAACTTACGTGTGGGCATATGAACAGAGCACTAAACACAGGTAGGATCCCCATCCTGAGAATTCCCTCCTCAGCCTCTTATCTGTCCCTTTGCTGTGTCTAATCCTCTTAGTTTGTTGCTCTGCTGCTTCTTCTGTGATACCACAATGCCACTCACTGTCTACATCCAGTATTAGCAGACTTTCTGCTCAGGATTCATTTAGAAATGTTGCTCAGTGGAATTGTACAAGTTTCTGGCTTGGCTCCTAAGCGTCTCTTCATGCTACACACCCACTGGGTCTTTTCAGCTGGTGTCTTTCAAAGGGGACTCATAAGTGAGCAATTAACCTAACTGCATCAGCAAAGTCACATGGCAACAGATACATGCCTTGCGCTGGATACAATCATACAATTCTAGTAGTTTTGACGTTTCAGAATTATGACTTTCCCAGTTTCCAAATGATTTGTCTCAGGTTTTACAATTTACCTCATCCACGCAGGCTACTTACTGCCTAGTAATCTCTTTTTAGATAGTTTACAGCAAAGATGGATTAAAGATCAGTTTAGCTGTTAGCTCAGGCGTTTCAGTCTGCCAGCCTGACTTTCTCCCAGAGACAGGCCAGTTTAGCAGCTTATCTTCTCAAATCTGCTCCTCACACATGTGACCCATATTTGCATGTGGCACACATCCCACGGGACAGCACCTTTAGTCCTTTGAGTGCTGTACTGCCCCTCATACAACGAGCTTGCTTGGGGTTTGGTAACTGCTACGAGAGCAGGCACACAGGTGTGCACCACACACAGACACCACCATGGGAATTACCCACGGGGAGTGAGCAGTAACAACAGCCTTGTAGTAAAATTAGGTTTAAATAAAATGAAAGCAATGGTCTACAGATTTATAGCTAGAAATGGTATTGAGTATGAGAAACTCAGAGCACCAGAGTTTCTCATAGCTGAGAAGCGGAGTCTATTCGGACTTTCATAACAGCTGGAGCTGTAATTTGATACTTTTATAAAATACATTGATTACTAGTAACAGCAGTAAGAAGGCCCTAATGCAAAAAGAATTTTTATTTTTACCATCAGGTTGGAACAGCCTTCTTTAATACCTATTCAAGGCAGGGCTCGAGGCTGTGTTTGGTCTTCAGGATGAGTAATATTTTGCTAGGTAATGATTTGTTCTTGGGAAGTCTAGCTGATTAGCTTCCTGATAACCTTGGATGGAGAGCATTAGTGAGGAACAAAATGACATTTTACAGAAAAAAAACCCACTTACCAAAGAGAGACAAGGACTCCCTGCCTGGACACATGCAGATTGATAGGTTGGCTTCTTAGGTCTGTACTGCAAGCCCGTTCCTAGAGAAGCTCAGATTTATTATTGAACACAGCGCTGAATGTGACAAAGTCCAGCGGCGATCAATTTTCAGTGTTATTACCGCGGAAAGGGTCATGACCATCAGCACTTGCCAAACTGCCCTCGATCCCGCAGTGGCGGCCACTGATGGCACATGTCCTGCCCGAAGCCGAACGTGCCCAAACCCGGCTCGTTTCCTTTCCTGGCCGTGCCATGCGAGGGCAGCAGAGATTGCGGAACGGGAGCCGGGCTCTGCGGGGACAGCCGGGTGTCCCGGCCACCCTGACCCTGCCAGCGCTGCGGGACACCCCGCGGGATGCGGAGCCCGACAGGAACCTGTGCCCGGGGAATCAGACGATAAATAAGTCTCTCTTGAGGTCGTAACATTTTTAAACTTTTGCGATGGAGTCATCGTTCCTGGAGGGATTTACAAGACGTGTAGATGCGCCCTTGGGGATGTGGTTCAGTGGTGGGCTTGGCAGTGCTGGGCTCATGTTTGGACTCGAGGATCTTAGAGGGCTTTTCCAACCTGATTGCAGGATACTCACCCACCTACAATGCAGAGAGAGGAAAGGATACAGAGCAGCCAAAGGCTGTGAGCGACTTTCACACCTTGAGCAGAAAAAGCTCAAGTCCGAGATCCCGGCTGCACCTGAATGATTTCGAGTCTCAGCTAAGTCTGATTTGGTGACACTCAGCGAAGGAAACGCTGTCATTCCCTCCACAGCTCTATCGTGCAGTCGCCAAGAGGTGGAGCCGTGCACCAAATCCCAGCCGCGAATAGGGCGAGCAAGGGCTTTCAGCTCTTTATTCTTCCACTTCAGCCAGGCTCATCCTCAGGCTCCATCCAAAGTCAGCTGATGTTTACAAGCAGCGATAAATCAAGCAGAAAGTGCTGACAGTAATGCTGCTCGCTATTGATCGGGTGCTGCAGGTGATGTTTCCCCACCATCCCCTGGGGAAAAGGGTTGCTTCGGAATACAGTCAGGCACCAAGGACGGAGCTGGTGAGACAATGCTTTGGGATTCTGTTCCGTGTCTGTGTAGGGCTGCCCTGATTACCCTTGCACAGGCCACTTGGTTCGGAGGCTTCAAGAGGGCCGAGCAGTCTGAGTCAGACACAGGGCTTGGAGAGGCTGATACAGATGCTTTTCTCTAAGCTGCCTCTCGATCCCATAATCTTTTCCACTGTCAAAATCTTCACCTTCCTGGAAATCTTCACCTCTTCTTACAAGGGTACATTCTGCTTCCTTGCACCTCTTTGCCCAGGGACGTGGTGTTTGCTGGCTGCCAGGGTGGATGCCCTTCTGCAGCCAGAAGATGAGCCAAGGCTGTTTGCAGGAACCGGAGGGACAGAGCATCCAAACATAAATCCCATACATCTGTCAGCAGCTCAGGCAAGGATGGGTGGCTGTTTGAAACTGCTCCAAGCCAAGCACTGTGATTTGGTTGCCTCTGGACCATTCTGCATTGAAATAGCTGCTCCATTCCTGGTGTAATTTTCATGAAGGAAAATTTGAAAATCTGTTAGATATTGATTTTGCAGGAGCGTTATTTCCCACTTAAAAACAAATATCTTGGGAAAATTCCCAAGAAGATCTGAATAATACATCTGTAACACTGACAGGCAACCCCTGTGATCATGTGTCTTTCATTGCCTGGGGTCTATTTAAGCTCTGAATCCCATCTGTGATGCACAAGGATGGCTACTGAACATCCCAATAAGAGATTTGGCTGGAAATATATATCCTACAATAATCTGTTCTGGTATTTGGTGTAATAAAGGGAATATTGTCATTGATTACCTCACTGATATGTAACTTTCTGCTGGCAAATCTTTCACAGTAAAGTTATAAAAACATCAGTCTTCAGCATCTCTGCCAGATATTCAACTCTTTATTTTCTGTTCTGTCATATAAGCTGAGTAATTTATATGCCTGTTCAATACAAAAGGTGGTTATTATATGTTTCAAGAAAGAGATTTGACAATACCTGCCTTGTAAGAAATACCAAGTCGTAGAGAGGCAAGGCAAAGGAAAATGCTGTAAATCAAGAGGTGACAAGGCAGTTTTCAGATGGAAGATTAGAACACTGTTCAGGGTTCCACAAACAAATACGTTGAATTATAGACAAAAAGCTACTTTCTAGCATTTGTCCCCTGTTGCTGCAGGCCTTTTAGGGACATAAATCCCACTGAAGTCAAATTGTGTCCATAAACTAAATTCCAAAATTAATCCATAAGTAGAGTCTGACATGGAAATGCTTATTATTAGCTTGATTTGTACAAGATGTATAGATATGATTTCAAATAAAAGCAACATTATGGAAAAAATTACGTCAGTTGCAGTTTCGTCTGAATAAGGACTGCATAGTATGAATGTGTCCCAAAATAACACATCTGCAGTGATCTAAGTGAAGCTTAGCTAGCATTCCCTGCACTGTATTTTACACAGGTAATTCTATGTGACTGTTTAACCCCAGCTCTAAACACTGACTTGACAAATGGATGGGGGAGAGCCCCTTGCTCCACCCAGGGAGAAGGAGCAGTGGCTGCCTTCCAACCCGTACCACGTTGCAAGTGGATGTGTTTTAACTGAGAGACTGAGAAATCTTTGCTGTTTGCAAGTGCCATCACAGGTCTGCCCCAGCCATCCAGGCCAGCAGCCAGGCACAAAATGTGGAGACCTAATACAGCAAGAGCACGAGGTGAGAGAAACCTGTTGGGGTGTGGGACTGTGTGGCAATGCAGTGAGTGAGCTGCAGAAAGGTTCTGCCTGGGTCTGCTTTCCTGCAGATGACCAGGGCAGGTAACCCCAGCCCAGCAGGCAGGATTCAGAACACAAAGTATTAGGGGTTGGGTGCCAAGAACTGATCATGCAAACTGCCTTAAGCCCCTGAGGAAAATGCCTGAGCACCGTGGGAAAGAGCAGCTCATTGTGGACAAACATCCAGTGTTGTCAATCCAATGCTGAACTCCTCTCTAGAGACTCACAGGACAAGCCCACCCTGCTTCTGCCACTCTGTTCTGTCCTGCTTTCTGGGGCAGTGCTGCTCCACCAGCAGCCAGCTCCTGGGCTGCCTCCATGGGGACTCCCCTGCTGTCCCTGGACACCACCGTGCAGCCCAGCAGCCCTTGGCAGCCACAGGGAGCAGGGCTTGTCCTGATCCTGGACAGCACCTGGCTTTTGCAACATCACAGAGGAACAGGAGACCAAGGCACAGGAAGAGAAATTCATCCTCCTTCCAGCTTCCCCTTGAGCAGAGATGTCATTTCCCAGTCTGAGACTGAAAATCCAGACCCCGATTCAGAGAGCAAGGTAAGATTATTATTAGCTCTCAATTAAAACAGGAAGATCATTGCCACTGAAGATGGAAGGGGACATTCCCTATCTTGGAGCAGCCCACCTGGGGAAGGAAAATCACCCTCACATTACACTGGGGAGAGGAATACATGTCACTGCACTTTTGAGGCAGCAGATCAGGTAGGAGCCTGGTGACAGCAGATGTGATCCTTCCTCTAGAGGAGCTGCTGAACTGTGAACGTGCAGAAGTGGATTTCCAAGCCGAGCAATACCTGCTGCCTTGAGTGACCTACTTTTTCTGCACGCTATGTGAATAGGGTTAGGCAACAGTTAATTTGGTGCTGAAAACTGAAACAGTTGGGCAGCAACAATTACATGTCTGGTGGCTGCCTCGGCAAACCTCAGCGCCCCTGACAGGGGTTCCTGGGCAGTACCACATTTCAGTCCTGTGCTTTGGGAACATATCAAGCAGAAACACAGTCCTTTGCTAAATTGAGCATAATCATTCAAATTCATTTATCAGATCCAATAGGAGTTTTGCTTATTACCATGAGTGGTAGCTTACCAAACGTACTGTTTTTAAGGTTGTCTCTTAAATCACAAAAAATCAAAAGCATGTTCATGTTGAGCATCCAAGCAGTCCAGTGCATCTGGATGAGGAAAGCTGAGCAAGTGAGGCTGTCAGCAGGATGAACGTCCAGCTTTCCCAATGGCCTTGCCACACAGCACAAATAACACCAGCTAGAAAATCCCACCCTACGTCACCATCACTCTTCACTGGGCCCTGTGCTAGCAGGTGTCTCATGATTCCTCCCTACCATTGTTTCATTTCATCTGTGTCAGGAAATGCTCACTTATATCTGTACTCATTTGTATTCATCCCTAGCTGGGTCTTCACTGAGATTTTCAATATTTGTCACCCATATGGGGAGGAGAAAGAAGTTAACAAGCTAATCACTCATTTAGACTTCGCATTAGTTTCCCATGCCTGTGCTAAATGACTAATAACTGTTTCCAAAGTTGGGATTCAGTATGATATTTCAGTATATATATTTCAGCATGATATGGTACTTTGACTGTATACAAATTTTAATTTTCTAACAAAATCTGATTTCTTGATACATTGTCAAATTAAATAGGTCTCCTCAAAATGAATCCCAGTTACCAGCAAGAGCCTTAACCCTAACAGTTGCAGCTCAAAAGTCTGGTGTATTTTATCTCCCTTTTCTCCCAGAATGAGATCCTGGCACCCTAATTCACAGGCACCAGAGCTGATCTCCACAGAGAGTCGCAATCAAGTCAACTCTTTCTTTGCAGCACAAAGGAAATCACATTTCTTTGAAATGCCGAGGAAATCTGAATGTGTGTTCCTGTTTAGCATGATTAAGGTGTCACATAGCACTCCCACGCACCCCGACACAGAGAACTTCTTGCCGGCTGCTGATGTCAAAGCAAATCAGCTGAAAACACGGAGGGGTTCTGAGAAACACAACTAGGACGCGCCAGGCAGGCTGGCAACGAGCTACCCTGTGTCACAGGGACTGGGCAACCTCAGGGACCACCCCTGAGGTAGGGCACAGGCTGGGGATGCAGGAGTGTCCCCTGCCCCCCAGCAGGTTCCTAATACAGGCATGGGGCACAGATCTTTCATCATGCAGAAATTTCTGTGTGTGAGCTGCTTGTTATAAAACCCTGATA